TTTTTTTTTTTTTGAACGAAATAACCATAAATCATACCTCTTCGTAAGTATCGATCTACTAATGTTTTAAATTCATCTCCTACAGCATAATTTAATTGTAAGCGACGCGGTGCTAACGCTCGAGGAAATAATTCTTCGTATCTTTGGAGCATAGCTAATGTTTCTTCAGGTTTAGTATGTCTTTCAGCCTCTGCTAGCCTAGCATAATAAGTTGTATTTTCTGGATTTATATTTAAAAGTTCCTTATAAACTTGTGCTGCTTCTGCATATTGTTTTAATTGTAATCTTAATTTACCTATATATAATGAAATTAATAGAAAAATATTATAAAATATTTAATATTTTTCATAATGAGAAATTCTAAAGAAATTATGACTTACCATATGTTTCTTTTACAGTAACTTTATCACAAATTTGATCACTATATTTATCAAGATGTTTTAATGCTTGTTCGCATTCTCCTGATTCTTGGATAACCATATTTTGATATAATAACAATTCACTGTGCTCATAATCATAACAAATCTATAGATTTAAAAAATGTCCCTATATTATATATTCATATCTAATACTTAATTAAAATATATACCATTATGAAAAAAATAAATCTACATATATGTATTATTTAAATATTTTTTTCTTTTTTACATAACAAAAGATATATAATATTGAAATACATACCATGGGAGAATTTCGAAATGTGTCTAAAATTTTAAGAGCTGTTTCATAATCCTTTAATAAATGATATGAGATAGCGAAACCAATCCACGAAGCACGCTGTGTAGGACGTAACATAAACAATTGATATCTTGTATCCTAAAAAAAATATGAATGTGAATATTAAATATAAAATATAAAGTATCATACTCCTAATAATATGTAATAATAAAAATAATACATTTTTAAAACTAAATTTAAATTATATGTATTCATAATATGCAATATGTTGTATTACTTAATTTTCTTTTTTTAAATTTATTTATATCTTTATGAATAATTAATGTTTTTAATACAAATTATACATTACGTACATTATTGATATATAAATATTATATATATTGGATGAAGTGAAAATTAGGTTAGCAATATAAACTCATAATCAAATTAATACAAAGATTAATCAATGTACATATAAATAATAAACAAGAAATAGATTTTCATATTAAAGATTTACCTTATAACCCTCCAGATCCCTCATTTGAATTTGAAGCAGCGATAAGTCTCTAAGAATTTGAATATTATCCTTATCCCATTTAAGGGCATTTCTATAACACTTAATAGCTTCATCATATTTCTTATCCGAGCGTTGTAAAAGTCCATAAACGTGCCAGCAAACATGAGATTGCAAATCATTCCTAAGACCTCTCCGGACATGATCATATGCTTCTTCCTTGCGACCTAAGCAGTTCAGAGTGAGACCTTTCATTGCCAAGGTCTCTCCATGTTCACTAAATTTAGGATTTGATAAAATTTGCTTTGCAAACTTTATCCCATTTTTATATTGTTTATGTTCGTAACACCTCTGCAAGAAACATAAATACGTTTCATACAATAAAACGTTTTCATGATTTCAATACTATGTATTTGAATAAACTGGCATTATAGAATATCGTGAAAGGCAAACAAGAAATCACGTTTTCATTCATAACATTGATAAAATTTTTATGATCTGTGATTGTCAGTGAATTTTTTGTAATTTTTCAAAGAGTGCTTCATCATTAGAGCATGATGAATACTCCTATTAGCCGGAGAGTGGGGTCCAAAACAGAGTATTTTGATTGCATATTACTCACCAGAATTCGTTTAAACAAGGCATTTTCTTTGGGTGGTAAGGGATTGCTGGAGGGCATTTTTGTATAAATACAAAAATATAGGGCCTTTTCCACCCGGTAAACTTAATTTTCACCACAAAACCTCGTGGCCACAAACGAAGAAGTCGATCTTCGATCACGTGATCATCTGCGACAATGCTGTTCCGCCGGAAGTTCTACATTCACGGTGCCGCACACTTTAATAAATTTTATGAATTTTACAAATTTATTAACGATAATAGTCCTTTATTCATTTACGTTGACGTTTATATTACGTTCTCTTTGATGCATTCGATGATTTTACCTTTTTCGGAATTGCATGAAATACGTAATTGCAAGTAATGATAACTAACGATATTTAAGGAGCATTTCTATGAAATTATAAAGATTACACAGAATATGATATTTTTTGAATTATACAGGAAAAAATACTTACTATTATAATACGTATATGATAAATTTATCTATTTTAAATATGTTTCACATATTATATATTTATTATTAAAATCATATATATCCTTCAGATTTTTTTAATAATCTTAAGTCTTATTTATAAATCAGTATACCATGATTTGTCTGTTTTTAGAAACAAATCCTTTATTTGTATAAGCACATGGATCTTAAATAAGTAGATTTATATAAATGTTTCAAAATAATGTAATATACAAAAATATGAAATATAAAGTTAAGAAGAAAATAATTTATATTTCTTAAACATAGTTTTATTAAATATAAGCAATATTTATACAATTTAGGTATGGTTTCAAATTTTATTTCGTAGTTATGTATATATTAAAGGTTATGTAGACAATCTTTTGAGTAATTAAGAAAAAATTTTAAATTATAAAATATATTTCAGATTTTAAAATTTAGAGATATAATAGATTAATTTATATAAAATTGAATTATATATATTTATCAGATTTTGTGAACATCAAATGACAATATGTCGTTAATATGTCGAAAACTATGTTCTTTTATTTTATTTGAACATTTTGGACAAATTGTACAATGCGTAGGTGAAGATTTATTTAAATATGGTGCAAAACCATTAGTATTAATTCGACATACAACACATCTTCCTGTAACAAAGGTAACAATTTTTTTTTTTAATTTATTATTTTTATTTAAAAATTTTTGTTAAAATAATATTATGAAATGTATTAATATAGTACTCTATAACAAATTTTTAATATTATTCTAGATCAAAGAAGCATTATGTGTTTTAATAAAATATGGTCTTGTAAAATATCGTCAAACAGATAAAGGAATGGAATATATTTTAATTTATGAAAGAGTCTTAAATATTCTTCGTTATCCAAAGTAATATATAATTTTATATAAAATTTTTTACATTTAATCTTTATTTTACATATGTATGAATAAAAATAAGATATTTTAAAAAAATATTTTAATTTTAACAGATATATGTTTTTTGTAAAAACAAATTGTGGAAATGAAGCTGAAATGATGTTAGAACAAGTATTAAAAAATGGATATATTACAGCTTCTGAAGTGATTATAAAAACATATAAAAGAATTGAACAATCACCCTGTATGTATATGTATATTTTAAACTTTTATTTTAAAAATAATGATATTATTTTAAGAAAATAAATTTCTATTAATTATTTATTCATATTTTTTAGCTAGTATACAACCATCAATTCCAGTTTTAAAAGAGAAGTTTGAATTACTTATCAAATATCAATTTTTAATGCGTAGTACAAACAAAAATGAAGAAGAAGGAAATTCAAAATGTGATTTTACATTACCAGATTTGGATTTAGCTGCTATTGCAAAACATTTAGAAGGAGACAATTGTAATCTTAAAGATAAAATTTATTGGGAAATTAATATTGATCGTTTTATTCAAGATTTTAGGTAAGATTCATATAAAAATATTATAAAAAAATTGATCATATTAAAAAATGATCATATTATGATCATAAAGCAAATAAAAAATTTGTGATCTATAGGGATCAAATTATTGTATCATCTATAAGTAAAAGACTTGATAAAAATGCAGGGGAATTGATGAGGCGATTATTATTTCTTATGTATCTAAGGACAGCATCATGGGAAGATACATCTAATCCAATACCATTTGCGGAAATAAAAGATGCAGTTAAAAAACTCAATTATCCATTACTTACTCAGCATCTTGATCAATATTTACGTCTCATTGGTATGGACAATAGGTGTACATAAAAAGGTTTTGTAAAATGTTTAATCACTGTAAACAATATTGCATGAAACTCAATTAATATATTATTATAGAGGAAGATAGTAGTCAATTTTTAAAACGAGTTGGGGATTCTGGAGGTGGTCAATATAGTGTTAATATGAAAGAAGCATTTAATCAATTGGCATGGGCAACTTTAGAAAATATTGTAATGGAACGATTTGGTTCAAAAGCTGCTAGAATTTTTAGGTAATACAAAATTTAATATTTTATAATGTTTAATATTGATAATTTAATTATATCCATTTTACTAAATAGGTTAGTGCGTGCTAAAAAGTACATTGAGCAAGAACAAATTCAACAATTAGCTATGATTCCAGCGAAAGAAGCAAAACATTTGACATATACTCTACTGCAAGAAAATTATTTACAAATGCAGGAAATAAAAAAAAGTGGAGTATCAGCTGCACCAATAAAAACATTTTTTTTATTTCACATTGATTTAAATTTGGTGGTTCGTATGGAAATCGAACACTGTTATCATGCATTATACAATATAATGCAAAGACGAGAGTATGAAGTAAATAGTAATAAGCGTATGATTGATAAACAATTGCGAATGCAAACATTAACAAGTAATTTAAAAGAACATGGTGCTCCTGAAGAACAATTAGCAGAGGTGCATATAATACTCATTATTATATTATTTTTAACTATATAATAAAATAATTAAAATATCAAAATTATTTACAGATTGCAGAAATGATGACTCCAACTGAGAAACAACAATTAGAAAAAGTCCAAAATACAATTAAGAAATTGGGTATCACTGAATTACAGATTGATGATACTCTATTTCTATTGACGATGTATTTACGTTATCACTAAATGAAGGCATATTTTGTAAAAATATGACATATTATCATGAATTATTATTATATTATAATAACGCTATTCATTTTTATTCAAGTACGCAATCAATGCGTAAATCCATCAAAAAACAAATACATAAAATTTCATTCATTTATATAGTTATTTATTTATGTATAATAATGGTTACGCTTGTAAAATACAAACAACAAAGAATACCTAACTTTCAAATTATTGTAATAAATATAATCATATGTCTATGTTTATAATAGTGCTGCTCTCTATGTGATACAGTGCATTTGATGTCACTATCTGTCAGGGAAAATGATCTTGGAGTACACACCTTTAAATGTTCTATCATTGACAAACTTCGTGTAATTATACCTTTTGATGCGATATAAATGTATGTTAGTTGATTAAAAACAAATTATTAGAGTTATGAATCACAGCCAGCTCAAGGTGCTTTATGGATCAGTAAATAAGTCGAACGCTGCAAATGCTATTTATAATTAGCTAAAAACGTAATTTCATTATCTTATGTAAAGATTGGAGACCATCATTTTTAGTGTGTCGCTATTAACGTACGTTTTACTTCCAAGTATGATTTTCCCTTAATTCCTATTATATACGTTGTACGTTCATCTCAACACTACTGCGATGGAAACGATTTTCTCTGGTTCTAAATTACTTATTGATAATGAAGATTCAAAATAGATAGTCTTAACAGTTCACCGATCTTAAATATATATATTTTGATTGTATGCTATTGACACCAATTAATAATGTGTACAGCCAATCGCAAATAGTGATAAGATGATCGTAAGCGTGTAATCGCATCCAACATGCATTTGACTGATTTTATACTTTTCTTTCTTTCTTTCTTTTGACACATATACACATACATACACACATTCAAACTTTTTCCCTTCTCTCTCATTTACACGATTCTGCATAGACTATGTACACTGCACGTACATACAAGTTTCTGCTAGAAATAACGTTGTATACCTAAAACTAAGATTGAATTTCGGTAAAGCGTTATTTTATTATATATATATTTTTTTTTTCATACCATTAACAACAACGTACATGTAAATGAAGTGAATTGTTGGAATATTGAGATTGGATGTTAGTGTTCACTTTTTTCTTCGTTACGTTAGATACACTATAGTATTAGTAATGCATTCGTTTTACAATTTACTATTCTTACAATTTGCATTTGCACTGGTTGCATTTCTTTTCTTTTTTTTTTTTTTCTTTTAAAATTCGATGAATTTACAGCGAGTGCATCGGGATTATCGTGAAAAATGCTTCGTTTCTAGGTATACAAACGAAAAAAAAAAAAAAAAA